TCATCTAATATATATATTGAGTTCGTATGTATGTATCTATCTATCTATCTATCTATGTATCTTCCCTATAGGGCGGGCCAAAACCGCCCAAGCGATCTGGATGCAATTTTCACAGGGCCATCTCTTATTTACCCGGGCGTGTTCGTAGCTTGAAAAAAACCTGTCAAACGTCAAACTCGCCGAAAAATACGTGAAAAACCTCTCAATTCGGCAATCTTCACACAAATGTCAGCACAGCCTATGACTATTGATTTTCTTGCCCTCACCTCATGATCTCATCAGCTTGCTGGTATTTGTGAAACCGAAACGAAATCGAATTAAACAGGCATAACCACGACCAGTTCAGAGTACTACTCACTCTCAGTTCAGAGTTTCGGTTCAGATGCTACGATTTGAGAATGGCATTGTACCATTCCAAAAGCTATGCATTTTTCTGATTCATACAAAAAATTTCTTAATTTCAAATCTGCATGGTTGGCACGCAAGCATTCACTAGACAATATCCAGTGGACACAGACCCCACTCGCTGGCCTTGTCTCTATCTTATACTATATTATGGAATGTTCTTTTATTCGGCGTACGATCTCACAATGGATAGCTGTACGTGGGGAGCTTACACGTTGGATACGCCACGAATCTCTACATATTTGCACCAGAGATAACACGAAAAACATTGTTTATCAAGAGTCTTTCAAACGGAAAAGTCCAACCCATTCGTAATGCTGCTTAATAAACAATAGCTTTTTGTCATTTACTCCATATTTACTGCTGAGAGGGTCTGTGGTGCATGTCCCCCCCCCCCCCGGGATACTGGCGGCAACGTACCCCTGGGTACCGTGGGTATTACCGGAACGTACCCTGGGTACTATCTAATATGCGACCGTACCTCGGCCTACTCAACTAACGAGTCTAGGGAGTCGCCTACGCCTACTCCCTAACCCCAACCCCAACCCTAACACTAACCATATCAAATAGCCACCAGGGTACGTTCCGGTATACTGGGGGACATAGACCCTATGAGCCATATTACTATTAATATTATGTCTCAGGTGTTCTAAGTTGGGTTGTGCTGTCATATAAATGTCATACGTAACAGTTTTTTCCCCTATGCTTATTATCTTATATAGACGATTTCTAAATATTGATATTCGGTGCAATGTCATTGTCGATGTTTATCCAATGTGTTCCTACTCGTGTCCCATTATTAGTATATAGTATGAATTAGTAGCACGATTTTACCCAGCGCAGCGGGTACCCGCAGCTAGTTATATAATATATATTATATTATATATATATCATATATATATATATAATATATATACCTCTCCCCAGACACTTCGTACGTGACTACATATTCTACATCTTTTACATACATCGTTTTGGAAGTCGTGCTAAGTTAGTAAAACGAGAGAGAGAGAGAGAGAGAGAGAGAGAGCGAGAGCGAGAGAGAGAGGTTAGCGGGGGTCACCTACTCCCGAGCAATTGCAATTTCTCACATCGTGGCACATACAGTTATCTCATAGTATGGGCTAGCTAGTTCATATATGTATCTTTAATTCCCCGTTGTTACGCACGTTTACACATAACCACGAATGTCTGTAAGCGTGCGTGCGTGTGCGTGCGGCATGCGTGTGTGTGTGTGTGTCCGTGTCTGTGTATACACATTTTTGTACTTGTAAACATACACTCACACGGACGCACCGAATACTGTTTTGATTTGTATTTCATTCTATAATTTCACATTTACGAAACAATCTTTGCAAACAACCGTGTGCATATGAGTTGGAGGGCTTTAAACAACTACAACTAGCTTCGATGAAACCCTACTAGTTGTCATGCTACCTTCCCACGAGCACATTGTCAGCAACTACTTATTGTTGTTGAAACGAAAGCGGCTGTAAATCTAGCAACAAAGACAAATAACAATTATAATTATGATAAATACAGTTTTATTATTAAGCATCTCATACACAAACCATGCGACAGCCGGCCGACCCACACAATCAAATACTGCTGCTGCGGCAGCCGAGGTAGAATGAAATATACGGCGGGAATGTAAACAGAGAAAGCAAAACCCGGCGAGAGAGCAAGAGAGGGTAACCCCAACACCCATCAATCACACCGCATTTAGAAGCAAGGGGGGGGCACCTCTCTCCTACGAAACCGCAGCTGCTGCTGCTAGCGTACACACACATACCACGCATGCACCACCACCACCATCACCATCATTCCACCGCAGCGGACGAGGCCCCTGACTCCAGCCAATGACTGACCCGCCCCCATACTACAGCCAGTGCAAGCTCATCTCCTTTTTTTGCACATCGACATTCGAATAATCGAGGCACTGCAAACTCTCTTGCTCTCTCTCTCTCTCTCGCTCTCTCTCCTTGAACCAGTGACCATAACTTTTGAGGGTATCATCGGCAGATAAAGGAATGTAATGAGAGCGGGCGACTGTGGAAGCGACATTCCTACAACGTTGTCCGTTCTATGTCGTACGAAACGAATCTCTCTCTCTCTCTCTCTCTCTCTTATACTCTCTCTCTCTCTCTCTCACACACACACACGCACGCACGCACGCACGCACGCCGCCACGCACGCACGCACGCACACACACACACACACACACACACACACACACACACACCTCCTCTCTCTCTCTCTCACACGCACGCACGCACGCACGCACACACACACTCTCTCTCTCTCTCTCTCTCTCTCTAGGCTAGCAAATGCTGCTCTGTGCCCACTGCTGTATCTCGGTGGGCAGGCCAGCGTACGTCTGTAGCGTGGACGCCACCTGACCAGGCTCCACTAGCAACGACATCAGTTTGTATTCCTTCTGGATGTTACCGCTGCTGCCCTCTGTGGTCGGAACGACAAACTCTAGAGCCTGCAGGTGTTCGAATGCCTGCGACGAATCAGAAATGACGATTAGAGAAACGCGAGGAAAGGATAAATTTTAAGCGAACGAGAATCAGAGATAAATGGCAAGGCGGCAATTGCATGGAAGCGTCAGAATGTCTACACTCACCTTCAACACTACGGCACGACTATACTTCTGCACTGCAGATCTCTTCATGGCAAACTTATGATATTCTGCGAACAAAGCATTCATCTGTATTTAGCGAGACAATAATGACAGAATATACAATATACAATATTGACACTAACGATAGAGATCATGTCAAATATACTAACGATAGAGATCATGTCAAATATACTAACGATAGAGATCATGTCAAATATACTAACGATAGAGATCATGTCAAATATACTAACGATAGAGATCATGTCAAATATACTAACGATAGAGATCATGTCAAATATACTAACGATAGAGATCATGTCAAATAAAAAGACATAATGAATAAGAATATATCTACTAATATTAATAAGATCCACTAATACCAAGAACATCTTTAAACAATTCTGAAATAACATCATTGCTGCAACAGCTGGTTTGACGATCTTTCATGCTCCTTGTATAAATGTTTGCGCTAATAAATCATTATAATACTATCGAGCGCAATCTACTAAAATTTCCGTTTGCAATATAAACACGAGACAAACACAATTAAGAAAACAAATGACGACATATTAAGGAACAGAAGACAAATAGCATCGATATATAAAGCTGACAGTCCCCATCACGAGAGAGAGAGATGGCTCACCATTATAAATCATCTCAAAGTTGAACGGCTCTCCGTCGAATATCTGCGTGTGATGAGTCATGGCGATGATCAAACAGAGCTCCAGCACTGACACACCTGTAACAGACCAATCTCCCATATATATATTATATATATATATATATATATAGATATGTAAATCTCTCGTCATAACAACACAATATAACAACGAGACGTTCTACCGACGTAACCAAAAACCGAATGGCAAGTCTAAGGTGCATTCTAACTCAGAGCATTAAGCGACACTCTGCTAACACACTGCATTGCAGTCCCTGTATTTCCATGAACACGCGTAGAAAACACATTCTATATACACATACGTTTATGCTATTAGTCGGTAGGGACGACTACAGCCCACTGACGGTCCCACCTACTTTTGTAAAAATCATGCAGTTGGCACACACGGTTACATAGAAACGCTGCGGAGAATTGGAGAAGGCAAGGAAACAAAATGTGGGGAGAATGCTTCGATGAATTGAAGAAGGTAAGAGAACGCGTGAGGGTAGAATGTTGCAGAGTGTACGAGGAGAAATTTGGGGACCAAACGTGGATAAAACACTTTGATGAGTTAGAGAAAGTAAGGAAGCAAGCGTAGATAGAGTGCTGTAGTGAATTAGAGAAGGTAAGAGAACAAACACGTATGGGTAGAATGTTGCAGAGTGTGTGCGAGGAGGATAAGGACGCACCGTGCAGCATCGCAGCCTTGGTGTCGATGCTCAGCCTCCTCCCAGACTCTACGACATGACCCGCCTGCGGGTACGGCTGCGTCTCCTCCACCTTGCTCAACGGCAGCAGCTGCCATCAGACAAACACACTCAACTAACATAGGATTCCTCACATGCTTAAGTGCGAGAGTGAGGGCTTTTGCCACACTCGTGCAGTCATCACGCTCGTGAGAGTGCAACATGCTAGTATGGTTTTATGCGAACGAATTTGCCCCAACCGTTTCTGTCACCAGAACACCATTTTCACACCGTCGATTCACTTGCGATTGCGAAATACGAATTTTGTTTTTGAATGCGTCCCCTTCCTCTGTTACTATTATCTATTCTATATCACTTTTGAATTCTATTGCCACTAATTTCATATTGATCACACGTATAGCATTGAGTGAGATGTTGGGCCTCACCATCAGCCTATGGAAGACGCCAACGTCTCTACTGTTGTCATAGAGACGCTGTAGTGTAGCCAGCACACTCTCGTCTGCACACAGACTCTGTAAGAGAATCACGTGAAGCCGTAGCGTCAGTAATTACCCAAACAAACAGATCAAATTACGAAAAAAATCACAGCTCAAAGTGGAAACGTGTTAGGATTATTGTATCAACTTTACAGTTGACCGCCTGCATTCATACACCACTGCCGTTAAGGAGCCAACGACTTAAACACAACATTCTTGTTTACCCCTTTAAACCTTGAGCATATCCTTAACATTGTCATTCATAGAAATATGCGAAATTTTATCATTGCTATCCAACTGACACGCACTTCGCGATGGCGAAGGAACAGACGTGCCAGTCGACGAGACGAGATAGAACGACGTCGGAGTTCGTACCTTGACGTGTTCATTCCACCTGCTCCTGAACGCTCTGTCGGGAAAGCTGGCAGGGAGAGAGAGGCTCGAGGCATAGAAACCCACGTACTGCTCGAATGAGAGACCGCTGAACATGTAGATCTGCCGGTGTGAGAATCGAGACTTGACTCGCTTCTCCAGGAGCTCGATGACGTCCTGCGGACAAACACTCATACAACATAATAACACACATACAACAACATACACATACAACATAACAACACACATACAACATAACAACACATATATACAACATAACAACACATACAACATAACAACACATATACAACATAACAACACATACAACATACACATACAACATAACAACACATATACAACATACACATACAACATTGGTTCCTACAGCATCTACAGCATCGGACAAACGCACGCACGCAGCGCTCCTACAGAATCTGTCACCGCCGCGCAACCCACGGACAACCCCTCTCTCGCTGATGATGTTCACGCGCCCCTACGCGCTCCTGTTGTCACCGCGTAACACACGGAAAAACCCTCTCACGTTGGTATTCAGTTTACCAGCTGACGTTGGATATCCTAATACGAGAATAACGGCCTCTCAGGGTTCTCCTAGCTTTTTAGCTCACCTTGACATCGTCAAGCTGAGCTATTGCCATGGGTCGTCGTCCGTCGTACGTCCGTCCGTCCGTCAACATTTGGCTACGGTCAACGATAACTCAAGAACCGTTTGACCCACATGTTTGAAATTGAGTATAGTTGTTACTGCTATGCTCCCATATTAAACGTTCTATTTTGGAGCACGCCAGTCGACGTACTTTCGAGCCACGGCAATTTTTT